CCTGCAGATCCTGTGCACGTTGAGCTCATTTCCTCAAGCTTCCTGCCGAGTTCCCATCTGTTTTTCATACCTTATTTCTCTACACGTGATTAAAGCTGTTTATGCCCATGGAGCTGCATACATAGTTGACATTATGGGAGGGTTCAAACTACCGCCCCCCCGCCATGGTCAAGTGTTTTCCAGAATATTCCTTTCTGTGCCAGAGAGGCTGATAACGCTCACATGGAGTGCCAGTTGAGATGAGAAAAGGGTAATGACAAATTTGGGGTAACAAATCATGTCAGTAGGATGACAGTTACGGAGAAAACTTTTGGCAAAACAGTGATTTAGAAAACTCTACTTGGGTAGATAATGACAATTTTACATAGATCCTCCTATGAAGGGCTAGAAAACAAAAGAAAGAAAAAATATCTGTATTGTAAGCTAATCTGCTTTCTATCTATAAGTTTAACAGTAGACACTAATAGTATAGGGGCTGGAGAGGTGAGACAAAGTTAAGGCACTTGTCTTGCATGGCGTCCACGCCATTTGGTCCTCAGCACCCCCTGTAATTCCATCAGGAGCTGCCAGGAGTGATCCCTGAGCACCACTGGGTGTGCCTCTACTCTACCCCCCAAAATTAACTTCTAAAACACTCAGAGTAGAAGCTAAGAAAATCATCTATTCAGTAGATCAAGAATATCTTCTAAATGCCTATAAATATGGATAAGATTTTCCTGAAGTACATCTGAGTGGTTTTTCCTATGAGAAAATATTTTTATTATTTTTATTTGGATACAAAACCCAGATCTAAAACCATTTCATGCCAACTATAAAATTAAACCCTGGATATTCCCTTAACCCTCTCCTCTCCTCCAACCTTAGAAAAGCCTCTTGATGTATTGTAAAGATGGTATCTGTCTGCCTGCAGTCATCTTGTTTACGTGTGCCATGTCAGTGCTGGGCATCTCATGTTGAAGCATGCTTCTCCTCAATGGGTTTCTCTTTTTTTTTTTTTGGCTTTTTTGGGGTTATACCCAATGATGCTCAGGGGTTACTCCTGGCTCTACACTTGGGAATTACTCCTGGGAATACTTGGGGGACCATATGGGATGCTGGGGGACCATATGGGATACGGGGGGTTAAACCCAGGTCAGCCAAATGCAAGGCAAACACCCTACCTGCTCTGCTGTACTACCACCCTGGCCCCTCCTCAGTGGATTTCTGAAGGCCTCTAACATGCCGATTCCAGACAAAGCACTGGCTCTAGCTCTTTCCTTCCGATGCAGGGAGGGAAACAGACAGCCCACGGGAAGCCTGCACCTAGTCCCAGAGAGAGAGGTGCTGGGAAGATAGTACAGTGGGTAAGGTGCCCACCTTGCATGTGTCCAGCCCCGGTTTAATCCTGACATCTTAGAGGGTCCAGAGTTTGCTAGGAGTGAACACAGAGAGTCAGAAGCATTGCTGGATGAGATGGACAAACACTAGAAAACGAGAGAGAGAGAGAGAGAGAGAGAGAGAGAGAGAGAGAAGAGGAGAGAAGAGTTGGGGAGGGGAAGGGAAGGGGAGGAGGGGAGGGGAGCACAAGGCAGGAAGCAAAATGGAGAGCAGCTGAGCAAGGCTAAGGGTGCAGGGATGGGTGTGGGGAAGGGACATGTCCATGGCTGGGAGGAAGGAGACTGCACGTGAGGAAGCATTGTTCCCAGGCTCCAAGGCGAGACTGCCTGGACCCTGAATGGGAGCGTGGTCAGGCTATTTGGCTACGGCCAAATGAGCAGGGGTGGGGTATGAGTGGACTGATGTGGAGCAGGGAGATGTGGAGGGTTGCCGGTTGTCTCGGTCTTGCTTTGACTTTAAATGAGACCAACCACTTGCCTTTTGTGTGCGCATTTCAGGGCTGACTTCAGCTTGACCCTTCTCACCTGGCTGCTCAGTCAGGGCTCAGAGCTGCCTGGAAGGGATCCTGCAGATGCAGGGGAGGGGCGAAGAGCAGGGGTGCGTTGCAGGGAGGGAGCCTCGGATTCTGAATCTACAGGAGAGGCGGAGTTGGCAGTTCAGGGACAGGTTGGTGACCCATGTCAAGGAGGAAATGGTTAGAGGGACAACCAGGCTCTGAACAGGAGCAGCTGCAAGAGGGTAATTCGGGGGACGAGCCAGAGAGCAAGTCCGGGGTCAAGGTACTTGCTCCGCACATGGCTAACCCTGGTTCCACACAGTTCTCTGGGCACAACTCCTGGCACCACACAGTTCCCTGGGAAATTCAGGGGCGACTTCCATTGCCTTGATGCAGGGCTGCTTCAGGTATGGCCTGGGAACCGGAGCTGGCAGCTGGGTAAGGGGAAACTCACAGGGAAGGACCCTCCCTCTCTCCCTCCGTCCCCTCTTTGCTTTTTTTTTACCAAATATTCAAAAAACTGAGTTATCTGGCATCTTTAAAGTCTGTTTTATTTTAAAGAACTCATGAAATCAAATGTACTTGACATTTTAATCCATTGCAAGAATTTCCTCCCAATATTACTCCATCTGTGTTTTGTTCTTTTTTTGTGGGGGAGGGAGGAGGTCACACCTGGCAGTGCTCCACAGTTACTCCTCTGCACTCCGGAATTACTCCTGGTAGTGCTTAGGGAACCATATGGGATGCCAGCAATCAAACCAGAGTTTATCACATGCAAAGCAGCACCCTACCTGCTGTACTGTCGCTCTGGGCCCATTCTTGGGGTTTTTGAGTGACTCTGAGATTTTTTTTCTGATGTGACAATATTTCCTAGGCTCTTGGTATGCATTTCCAGGCTAATGATACATTTCCCTGGCTATAGGATAACATTGCTTTGTCCTTTCTCCCTTGCCACAAGGAGCTTAGGTTTATCGGGTCACACCCATCAAAGTGCTCCCAAGTCACTCCCATTCTTTTGTTTATCTGTAACCACTTCTCTGTGCTCTCTTCCCCAACCTGTTAATCAGCTTTTTCCCCTAATCAGATTCTGTTAATTTGTAAGGTCAGATCTTTCTAGGACACTGAATTTGTATTATAAGTTAATATTGCCTTTCTCCTCTCCTTATGTCTTTTGAATAATTTACTTTAAGAAAATCTCCTTTTGTATAGACACAAGAAGACAATTAATATTATGCTTTTGTAACTTGGGATTTAATTGGCTTTGAATATTATTCAATCCTGGGCATCTGCTTTCTCAACTTAAGCTTCAGTTTCCCTCACTTCCTAGAGCCCCCCAAAGCAGGGTCCCGGTGAGGGACTGGATGGAATTTACCAGGGCAAGAGGTAATCTGTGTGCTTCCCTGGCATCGAGATGGGTCTGGTCAAAGTGCTACAATTCTTAACTATAAGTTAAGAGCTTGATCATGGAAAAATGCTGTCATGATCCAAAAGTAACAATGGGATTAGGACCCTGCCAGGGATAGGAAAGACTAATATGGCCTGAGCACTGTAGTTCTGAGATCAGGGTAACCCCAGGAGAACAATTCTATAAGCTTAATGTATCTCTTATTGTGTCTTAATGTATCTCTTATATACAAAATGATTAATATTATGAATGCTTGTATGCTTGTTGGACAAGGAGAGGAGAGACACACTTATGGGATTCCACCCTTGGGTGGGTGGTCCTGCCGAAAGAGAATCTATCCTAGAAGAAGCAGCATACCCTGAGGGGAAGAGTTTTAACCCTATTGATTGTGACCACACCTTTGTGTAAGCCCAGCCCCTCATGGTTTGGGGATTTAATGAGACAGTAAGAGTGGACAGGGAGGTGAAGATTGAGATCAAGATCCAGAGCCAGAGCCAGGAAAGAGGGGTTCCAGATTGGGGGCTGGGAAAGAAGGAGAGAGAGAGACAGAAGTGAACGGGAATGAGAATGGAATAAATAGTATCTGATCAATCAACCGGCTTGGCCCCTTCACTTTCTCTGCAGTCTGCCCCTTGGCCCAGGCCACCCAGCTCGGGGGGAGGGCTGGGCCCCCCAGAACCTGGGCGGCCAGGGGAAGAGCCATCGGGGCCCTCAGAGTTTTTTTATACCTGAGAATTCTTTTAATGAAAAATGGCATCGAGTGATCATAGTCTGATGCTAGAGATTGGTCAATGTTTGGGATATCTTCAACAGAAGAGTTAGGATGTGTCTTAAGAGATAACATCATAGGCTCACGGTGATGCTTTGTATTTAATTGCAGACAGGAATTGAGTTAGAACTTAATCTCCTTAATTTTATATCTGCTTTTCCCTCTCACACATTGTAATGCTCAGGGTTCAAAACACCAAAATAACCACTCATTTGTATTATTCCATACTCAGATCATGCCAGTGAGAAAGAATGCAATGTCCAATTGTACCTGACAGGTCATGTTGTACAGAACAAAGGCTATCAAGATGAGGATGCGAATTCTGAGGAAAGCAAAACTGAGATCAGAGGCCTCAGAGGGCAGAGACCAGTGGCTTCCAACAGCTAGGCAGTTCAGAGGTGCCAGCTTCCAAACCTGACACAGTTTGCTGCAGACGAGATAGATACAGTCCTGCAGAGGGTGCAGGAGATGCAATAAGAAGCGGAAACACCTTCTTCCTTTTAACACTCCAAATACTTGCATTTCAGCCAGGCCCTTAACCCTTTGTTTTTGCTGTCAGGAGCCAGTCTGCATGTATTTTTAATAGGGCTTTTTATATGGCTCTGTAAGCAGCATTGGGATGGAGAATTGGGTGGAGGTTATGAAAGATTGGGTGACTCTGGGATCAGCATGCAGAGTGCACAAGATGGGTATTTACCTTGACCTGGGTACGATCCCGGCACCCCATATGGTCCCTGCAGCCTCCACCCACCCAAGAGTGATCCCTAAGGACAGAGCCAGAAGTAAGCTCTGAGCACCACTCTGAGCAAAAACCAAGAAAACAAAAATCAGATTGTGATTCTCTATCAGTTCAACCACAGGCCCCCTTTCTCCTGGGCTGCCTTTATTCTGTGACATCTGAGCATTTGCATCCTCCTGACCCATGGCGGGATTGTGTTTGTTTCTCCCTACAGAGGACAAAGTGTGGACCATCGTCTCTCACGACTTGCAGATGCAGACGACGGTAGTGGGCTATAACCCAGACAAGTACTCGGTGACCCAGCTGGTGTACAGCGCCTCCATGGACCAGATCAGTGCCATCACCAGCAGCGCCGAGTACTGTGAGCAGTACATCTCCTACTTCTGCAAGATGTCCAGGTTGTTGAACACCCCAGGTAGGCCCAAGATGGGAGGGGGACTTTTAATTACCATCACTGTGTGGATTGACGGAGACAAGCCAACAGGTGTGGCTTATTATCAGCTCACCCAGGCCTCAAAGCAGAGGCAGCTGCACAAAAGAAAAGAATAATCATTTTTTTTTCCTGAGGCATGAAGCCAAATCTGTGTTGTTGATGTTGTTGTTGTTGTTGTTTTAAAAAAGTGCCATTGTTGAAATGCTGTGACTTGGAGCAGTAAGATGGAGACAGCCATATGGGAATGACTTTAAGAAAAATCAAATGCATTTCACTTATAGGTGGTATACCATGAAAACAGAAAAGTCAAAGAACTAAATGAAACAAAAATAAACTTTTGGACTCTAATACCAGTTAGTGGTTAGTAGAAGGGATGGAGGAAATTAGGTGGATAAACCAAGATAAAGGGAAGAAGTGTCCCATGAAGGACAGAAGTGGACTCTTGGTGAACAATCTGTGGTGTTTATACACGTTGCTTTTCAGAAGTGCACTCCTGAAAGTCATGTGATATTTGAAAGCAACAATCCTTCGGTAGAAATGAAGAGATATATGTGTGCACAGAAAAAAAGAATTGTTTAAAATCTATTGTTTTCAGCTCACAGAGTTTTTGATTTTGTGTGCGTGTACGCTTCTGGTGATTAATTTTGTATGGTTTTGTAGAAAAGTTTATCAAAATTCAATTGTGAGTTTTCAGTGATTCCTTTTCAGTCCTTCAATAGCCTTAATGAGAAGATAAAAACATTTTAAAGTTGGTCTGCAGGTAAACAGATTGGAGGATAGGGAGGATTTCATGTTCTTTGTCGTCATGGTCTTTTTAGAATATCTCCTTGTCTCAAGGAGTTGACCTAGTTTTTAATCATGATTGCTTGTTATCAGTCTTGCTTCAGGGTGTGTGTGTGTGTGTGTGTGTGTGTGTGTGTGTGTGTGTGTTACAAGCATAGAAAAGAGTTTCCAGCTGAAATCCTGTAAATATCTCTATCACAAGATTCATACACTCAAGTTGTTCACAAAAACCTAACGTGTTGGTTTGTGATAAAAACTTGTAATAGCATGGGGTGGGGGTGGGGAGGGAGGAAAGCATATGCCCTGAGTCAGGAGATCAGTGACCCACACTTTGTAGGCTGGACACTCAGTTTGTGACTTAGCAGGAGCTGAGTGAACTCTTATGCCAGCCCGCTAATCATAATTCCTCTTTCGGAGTGATTCTGAGAATTTAATGAGTAATCTTCACTAGAGGAGTCACTGCATTTAAACAGTAAATAGCAACAAGTATATTGATTATATTTTAATATAGTTTGGAAATGACGTCATGTCTGAGACCAGTTGATTGATGTCCCAAATCACTGTAGTATTGGAGCCTTTGTTATGGGAAGTGCTTTACAGAGAACAGTTATAAACAAAAATGTTTAAAAATTGAAATGTTTGGGGACTGGAGAGAGAGGACAGTGGGCAGGTTGCTTGCTTTGCATGAGTTCCATCCTGGCATCCCATATGTTCCCCCAAGCCCTGCCAGGAGTGATCCCTGAGTACAGAGGCGGGAGTCAGCCCCGAGTACCACAAGATGTGGGCCGCAAATAAGCACTGTAGCACTGTCCTCCTGTTGTTCATCGATTTGCTTGAGCGGGCCCAGTAATGTCTACCTTGTGAGACTTGTTGTTACTGTGTTTGGCCTATCGAATGCGTCGCAGGGAACTTGCCAGGTTTTTGCCATGTGGGCGAGATACTCTTGGTAGTTTGCCAGGCTCTCTGAGAGGGGTGGAGGAATCGAACTTGGGTCAGACCAAGCAGCCATGTGCAAGGCAAATGCCCTACCTGCTGTGCAGTAACTCCAGTCCAAATAAAATAAAACAAAAACTTGGAGTGTTTTCTATGTGCAAAGTTTTATGATTATACTATAAACAGTTGTGATCCATGGATACAGTGAAAGCCAAGACTGTAACACGTGGACACTTTTGACTCAGACAATTAGCACATGTGGTTTTTTTTATAACGAAATGAAAAAATTTGTATTTGTGTAAATCACAACTTTATAAAGAAATGTGGGGTTAATTACATAAACATGTTGAACAAAAGAAGCATGTCACAAATAATGCATATAGGTTAAAACAAACATAGTCAAACTATATTTTTAGACACAATGTAAAATAATATAAAAATGAAGAAAATATATTTAAAAAAAAGTATGGTAATGGCTAGTTCAAGTCACGGATCACGGTCTTCCCATTGTTCATCGATTTGCTCGAGCATGCCCAGTAATGTCTCCATTGGAGACTTTGTTGTTACTGTGTTAGGCATATTGAATACATCACGAGTAGCTTGCCAGGCTCTGCCATGCAGGCGAGATACTCTCGGTAGCTTGCCGGGCTCTCCGAGAGGGGTGGAAGAATCGAACTCGGGTCAGTCATGTTGGCTGTGTGCAAGGCAAATGCCCTGCTGCTAGTTCAAGTAGAGAAAAATATGGTTAATTGAAGTAGATACTTCCGTTGATTCAACAACACTCTGTTATGATCTGTGTGATAGATGTTTGAGTGTAAACTTGAATTCATGATATTGCATATTTGTTTAATGCTTTTTTTTTGTCAATGTGACATCTCAAGTAAGAGTAGGTAAGGCTTACAGTAGAACAGTTCCTTAATTACATCTGTTCACTGTAGTACGTGTGTTGTTTGGAGGAAGAAAGTGAAGATTGTGGCTGAGGTGACGCTCTGTAAGAAAGAAAAACAGTTTTTGGTTTGGTGAAAGTTCATAGAATTACAGAAAACAGAATCTGAAGGATTTCTTAGGTCATGGTAATTAGAGGCATAGCCAAAATATATTTTCTTCAGAAGAGCAGTGTAAGTTTGACAAGATAAAATGCAGGAAACTGTCAGAAACAAAAATGCTGTTCTACACTCTTGGGACTTAGGAGACCTAGGGCTGGGTGACATTCCCAGCATTAGAATAATCTGGAGACATTAATAAAACTTAAATGGACAAGGCCCATTCCCCAGACTTCTGCTTCAATCTGCCATGTGCCAGGAGAATTTGCATTTGCAACAAGCAATTTGGGCTAAATTGCCTCCCTCCAAAATTCAGATGCTGAAGACCTAACTCCTGCTGTGATGGGACCATGAGGGTATAGTCAGAGTCATACAACTGGATTGATGACTTTATAAATCAGGGAAGCTCTTCCTGTCTATACTTGAGGAAACAGTCAACCATCGGCAAACCAGAAAGAGAGCTCACATTGGAAACCAAATTGGCTGCCATCTTGTCCTTGAATTTCAGGTCTCTGTATCTGTGAGGATTAGCCTCTGTTCCTTGTCTATGGTTTGTGGCTATGGCAGGCAGAGCAGAATTGACTTTTAAGGAATGGGTACTTGCTGGTCTAGAGACCACATTTTTTCAAAGAAAATACTTTATTTAAGCATCATAGTTTTTAGTTGTTCATAATAGTTGTTACGGGCTCTCATTGTTTCAACCCGAACCCCACTTCCAGAATGACCTTCCCTCCACAACCTCATCATTTTCCGAACCCTCCCCACTCCCCCGCCAAGCCTGCCCCCTCAGCAATCAGACACAATAATATGTTTAATATTGTTTGTTACAACTAAATGGCTAATGGAACTTTCAAAAATACTTCAGTAGAAGAAAATATTTGAAACTCTTCCATCTTACTACAGGATGGTTAGGTCCTTGTGGGAAGATTTACTAAACTGTTTATTGCTAGTTGAGTCTTAGGCGTTACTGCATTTGTTTGTTGAGTTTAGTTGACTTCAATGTTACTTCCCCACCTAATTTGGTGTTCTCATGTGGTCCCATTGGAATTTCAATATTGTGGAACGTGGCTGCACAATCCAGAAACTTCAGGATCTGTAGAATTGGGCCAATGAGCTGACATGGCAGCAGCTGTGGGAGGTAGGTGTGACTTCCAAGGCTTGTAGAAGTCTAGGGCGGGGTGCAGGGAGGCTGTGCGCCCCCACTCTGAGAAGACCCCAGAGTTCTCAGCCTGAACACCAGAGTACCTGCAATTTTTGTGGTTGATCGTCACTCCAGAGATTATTGGTGAAACAATGGAGTTGAGCTGTTGGCATGGTGGCAACAATATGATGTGGGTACAACTGCCAAGACTTTGGCAGGGCGGGAACTCAGCCCATCCCCTCCTGGGTGTGTTGGAGGGAGACAGAGTTTTCAGCTGGGAGATTGGTGTTTCCATAAATTTTAGCTGTGTAGCTTGAACCTCCTCAGAGACTTAGTCTTGAACAGGAAGAGCAGGGCGGTGAGTGAGCCAACATGGTGGTGGCTGCCTAGAGACTACATTTCAAGACCCACTGCCACGCGCAATGAAAAGTCTCTTAGATAGTGCAGCCCAACCATGTTTGGTTCACCTTCACTTATCCAGCCTTCGCTGCTTGATCCTGTTTTCAGAGCTAGGAAACACCACTGAGATGAGCAAAACTCTAGGTATGCACTGGGTGTAGCAATTGACCCCTGGCAACTAGTCTACACTCTGTTTGTCCTTACTACGGCTTCTCCAAAAAGATCAGTGGAGGTGAGAATTGGTACTAGTGTTGTTTAGAGGAAAAAGTGTCTCAGTGGCTCCAATCTTGAGGTGGGGACACATTACTGGCCAGAAGATTACTTGATACCGTCAACTATGTTTTCATCTTCTATTCAACTTCATAGTCATTTTCATTTCTTAAATTTTGCTCTGGTGGCTAAAAGGCTGAGTGTGATTTTTGAGGATAAACAGGTCAGAGGTGAGAAAATACATTTGTTTTTCTGCCTACTCCTGCTTCATGGTTCCTTCCTCTGTCTTTGCTCTCCTCTCTTCCCTGTCTCTCCTGCCCCAGCCTCTGAGGTGCCTCACATGCTTAACGCTTTCCACTCAAATCTAGGATGTCACAGAGAGCAAAAAGTAGGACGAATGTGTTGGAGACACTGATAGTCTGGTGATTTCCTGCTGAGACCACACACTTCTTTCCAGATCAGATCAGATATCT